GTGTGTCAGAGGCAATGCGATTGGCACAGGATAGAGCAGGGTTTAGGGCTGTTGTACATAGGGTCGCTATGAGTCGCAAACAACTCGATGGCACATAACAACAACACAACAACAACATACAAGATAAATTTGAAAACCTAGAGGAAATAGTTGGAAGCAAAAGTAACATCCACTTCCTTAACAGCATGCTTCTAGAAACTCTTAGGAACTTTGAGAAATTACAATAATTATAGAAAGGCTTCAGGTCTTTTGTTCATAGGGTCACTATGAATCATAGTTGATTCAACAGCAATCAACAACAACATCAACAAGAGGAAATAAACAAATCCCTAGAAATGTGCACTCCATTCAGATTAGCACAGATAGAAGTAGAATACTTGAACAGATCCACAACAAAAGGAGAAATTGAGCAGGACATAAAGACTCTCCTGGTTTGCCTCTAGGGACCAGTAAGCAGAGAGGCAAGCACCCTGTGGATTTCTCTGACCAGCTAGCAAAGAGGAGAGTTCTGTGAGCTGCCCTAGAGTCCACTCTGACCCTGTTTCTCTATCAGCCTACAAGGATCAGCCAGGAAAGAGTGGGGTGCCCTGTCGGCCACCCATTAGTCTCATCTGCCCCTGCATGCCTACCACTCTGTGCCCACATGGCACAAAGAGGGAGCAAAGAGGGAGTGGCTCTCGGGCCACCTGGGAGTTGGCCCCCCTGCAAGGATCCATGAGTTTGCCCTGTACTCACTTGCTCATCTGCGTCATGGGACCAGCAAGCAGAGAGTGCAGTTTCCTGCAGGCTACTCAGACAAGCAGATAGAGGGGAGAACACCTTGCAGGCTGCTTGTCTGCCGGGGACCAGACAGGAGCGAGAGAAGTTTCTCATGGGACACCATTATTACTAGAGGAGATTACCACCTGAACAGGGAATAGAGGAACAGCTGGCTGAGAAGATTGTTATTGGGAAATGGAAGTTGAGTGCAATGCTTAAATTCTGTATCTTTTAAAATAGTATTGTAAAGAGAAGAAACAGGAAACTTTTAAAATTTCCTCTAAAGTAGTGCTTTATTTTTTAATTTTTTTCCTCTATTGGCATTTTTCTTTAATTTTAATGGAAGTTTGCAGATTCTTTGGATTTCCATTCATACAATGTTGCACTTTCCTACCTACCCACCCCTCCTCTCAGTTTGCTTTTTGTCTTGAAGTTCTTATTGTTCTTATGTGCCATCGAGTCACTTGCAACTCACAGCAACCCTATGTACAACAGCCTTATACCCTGCTCTATCTTGTGCCAATCACACTGCCTCCAACACACCCATCCCAATTACCCCAGTTGCCTTGAAGAGAAAAAAAATTCTTTCGTTGTTGTACAGTACCCCTGCCCCCCCAAGTCCACCTTACTATTCAACTCTTATTGTGGACCCTTGTCATGAAAATAATACCTAATCATATACCTTTTAAACAGTTCTTGCCCTCATCTGTTTCAATACAGTGTACATTAATAATCCCCTCTTAAGTTCCTCCCAACCTTGATGTCAGCCCCGTATTACATCAGTGGCACTATGCAGTATTTGTCCCTTTGTGACTGAGATATTTCACTCAGAATAACGTCCTCCAGGGTCACCCATTTTGAGTAATATTGCAGGAGTTCCTT